GGATTTGCAGTCCCGTGGGTGTGTGTCGAGGGGAATTTTCATTCCCGGAATAGGCTGCTTCGTCACCATCTTCTGGATCAGGTAAGAAGTTTGGGCCGATGCGTTCTGAAACATTCGTGTCGACCGGGTGGGGTGTAACGTAACCTTGGTCAGCGAAGTGGTAAAAGGTGTCGAGGTTGTTGCTATCGAGAGGATTGTCTGCGCCGAGTGGAACTGGCACGAAGCAGTAGGGGAGTGGTCCGGCAGCTTCCGAAGCTCCGGGTACGTCTTCTTCTGCTGCGTCAGCCTCGGCAGCACGGTCAGCGAAGGAGCGAATGCCTGCGACACCATCAGTGGGGTCGTTTGTGTTGGCGATGTTGTCCAGGTAATGCTGCAGCGTCAGTCGTTCGTAGAAGATCACATCACGTGATGCCACGGTATTTTTGTCTTGTATGTCGAGGATTTTCCATGCTTGAAAATGTTTTGCGATGCCGAGGTGGAGTCCCCATCGTGCTCGTTGAGTGAAGCGTCCTACTCTGGCTGTGTGGGGTCTGTACTGTACCATGCAGCCGAAAACCCGAAGTAATTTTGTGCTGCCCCTTTTTTGTGTCCACAGCAGGTGCGGTGATGCGTTGTTGGGAAGCGATGACGAGGATAGCAAGTTGTGCAGGTGGACTGCATGGGTCATCGCATCTGGCCACAGTGCGTTGGGCAGTCTCATCCCCAGGAGCAGCTTCCGCATCGTCGTCTACAAGGTCCGGTTCATTCTTTATGTGACCCCCTGTTGCTGGTGAGCGTAGGGTAGAGACACCAGGCGTCTGATTTTTCTTTCCGCCAAGTAGGTCCTGAATCGTTGTGACTGGTATTCCAGTGCGCCGTCGGATTGGAAACTCTTGAGCTTAGTTCCTGATTCTCGTTCAGCGATGGGGAGCCATGTCGTGAAGGCTTCGAAGGCTTGGTCTCGCGTTTTGAGGTTGTAGTGCCAAACATATCTTGTTGCTGCATCAATAAACGTGATGACATAGTTGAAGTCGGCTTCAGTGTCGTCTCGAGGCATGTTTAAGATGTCGCTGTAAACTTTTTCCATCGGTGCGTATGCAGGTGCGCTCGGATTGTGATGTGATGGAAAAGGTTGGTGGGGAATATCTGCTTCGGGGCACGTAAAGCACCGTGCGCGAGGTCGTCGTAGTTCTTGGCCGCTTGTTGTAAGAAGAGCGTTTCGTTCTAACACTTCGGCTTGGATGGTTTGTAGCACCGTGCTGTTTGCAGGATGCCCAAGGCGTTGGTGCCAGATGTCGTCGGAAGCGCGATGGCCGGGCGAGCGTTGGTACATGTCGGTGTTGGAGAAGAACGCGACGACCGTGGCGGGACTTCGGCAGACTTCTCGTGTGATGGGCATAAGTTGATCTGCTTCGGTTGGCGTCCTCGGATCGCCGGTGGTGGTATTCGGCTGGGTCCTGCTGCTGCTACTGCAGGTGATGGTTGGGAAGGGACGCTTGCTGGTACTTGTCTTTCTTGTCTGATGACTGCTAACGCGCATGTTCTTTCTGCTGCAGGTATGGTGTTGGAGTACCAGAATCCATCGGGGTTGAAGTCGGGGTCAAGATCCGGCGGGTGTGTCCAGGCGGCGAACGACACGATGCCATTGCTGTCGGCAGTACCGCGGTCGGGGACGAAGTCCAATACGAAGACGCCGGACTTCAGGAGAGCACGACCGATGAAGAGGCCGCCCTTCCCGTGGTAAAGGCGAAACTCGTTGGAGTCCGAGTCGCACTCCATGTGAATCTCTTTTGCCATTAGCTGGCTGACGCTTAGCAGATTGTATCCCAAGTTGTCGACGTTTAGAACCTTGTTGAGTTGCAGGATGACTTTTGTTTCCATGGACTGTAACTGAACCACTCCTTGTCTGTTTGTTTTCAGGTTCTCGTTGTTGGCGACGGTGATGATGACGTCGCGGTTGAGGCATCGCTCTCGTTGCACGAAGCGTCCGGAAGAACACATGTGTTGACCGCAACAGCTATCCAAGAACCAGGTGTTTCGTCCGGTGGGTTCGGCGTTGGCGACTGCAGCGTATGTCGGGTTGACCTGAAGTCCTTGTGAGCGAGGTGGCGGTAGTTCTTCTTCATCGGGAGCGTAAGTTGGCGGTGATCCGGGTGCGCAGTTGTCGATGTGTACCATGCAGTTAATGATATTCGGTGTATTTTGTGCAGATGTGGGAGAGCGCCTCGGCGGACTTTCTTGAGTGGAAGCGACTTGTGGGTCTACTGGACGATAAGCTCAGGGATGTGTGCAGTTGACTTTGGAGTGTCCTGATGTTTGGCAGTTGTGGCAGAACGGCGGTACAATGGTGAGTCCTCTGTTGTCGCGTTGATCGTGCCTGCCGCGTCGGTTGTAGTTGTTGTCGTGTCTTCGTTGAGTGTAGAAGACAAATGGTTGTTGTTTCCTTGGTTGTCTTTCTTCAAACAGGTCCATCTCCTGTTGTTCAGCATGGAGCTCGGCGCAGAGGTGCATCTCCGAGATTCGTCCGTGGGCGCGAAGGAGCGAGCGGGTGGTTCGCCAATCTGGCCCGAGCCCAGCGAGGACAAGCGTCACGAAGCTTTCTTCAGTGATTGTTCCTCCGCACCGAAGCAGGCGGTCGCGGAGTGTTTGGCATCGACTCATATATTGCATCGCCTTTTCCCCGATCTTCATCTGTATTATTATCAGCTGCTGCATGAGTCTGCTTTGTGTCACGCTGTCGTTTGCTTGATAGAGACACTTGAGGTGATGCCATGCGAGTTCCGCGGAGTTTCCGTAGCTCCGATACGTTCTGATGCTTTGCTGTTCTTGTGGTGACAGGTTCCGCAGGAGAACTGTGTACGCCAGCAGCGACTGATACGTGAAAATTTCTTGCTCTTTTCCAGTGCCGTTGCTTGGGAATGGCAGGGACCCGTTGAAATATCCCAAGAGATGCGCAGCCTCCATCAGCAGCTTGAACTCAAAGCTCCAGGTAAAGAAGTCGTGTCCGTTGAACGGTGAGGATGTCTGCAGTTTGATCACGTGTGAAAACTGCGCCTGGAGACTAAGTATCTCGTTTGGTGTTTGTTGTGATGCAGCTGCTGTTGGTTTTGCACGGGGCGGCATGAACTCGAACGTCCCCGGTGAAGAGTGATAGGGCACAAAGGTAGGCGCTTGATTATGTCGCCCGAACGATGAGTTGTCGAGGCTCATCGGCGCTAATCCCATGTTTCCTCCGTTGCTCTGTGTTGAGTGCGCAGATGTCCTTGTCTGCTGCTGCTGGTTGAAGTGCGACATGAAGCTGAAGAACCTTTCCATAAGGTTCGGATCCACGCTTGAAGAGGGTGATGGGGTCACCATTTCCGGTGTTCTTCCTGTTGTTTCTTGAGCAGTGCCGGTCTCGGTTTGCAGTCCTGAAGTGTGCAATCCAGAGTTGCCGGGTTGAGTGTCTTGGGCGCTGGGTGAGCCCGTAGAGATTTTCTTGCCCTTGCTGTCCATGACTTGTAATCAATGAAGTCGTTGGTGTGCAGATTGTAGATAGAGCGTAGTTGCTGGGAGTTTGGTCTCTGACCAGCTCTCATACCATGTTGGGCTGAGAAAAGCCCTTAGGATCTTTCCAGAGACTAGGTCCCAGTTGAAGAGTGAGACTTGAGTAGTGCAGCGGAAGTTGAGTAGTTGAACCCTTGTACTAGTATATGAGAACAAGTGATTGATTAAAGTGAACAAGCATACATCAATATATAGAAAGTAGAAAACAAGCAGTTGTAGAATACAGTTGAATGGCGGTTTAACGAGTCGCACAGCGACTCGATTGTCGCTTCGGTTACCATTCTTGCAGTTGTAACGGTCAGCCGCAACCTCCGGTTGCGACCCTTCGAGTCCTTTCGTGTTCTTTGTCCAACCCCTCGTGTAACCTCCGTTGACTCGCGTACTCGTTACGATCTTCCTCGAGTGTGGTGTTACACTTCAGAAACGCTTAAGTCTTTGAGATATTTCCAACAGTTGTGCCTTAGAGACTACAGCCCCCTAGGTTATAATGCCTTGTACTCTCACATTCTAGTCATTCTTTCAGTTTGTTACTTATCTCATACCGATCTAAAATCTGATCTTATAAACGGGAAATCCTAATACAAGATAGATGCATAATACAAGACATAGTATGTTTTATTCCATGGGTGTCTTAGATCCGGGCTTTCACGGCATTTCCTTAAAATTATCGCTTGTCTAAATTTACCTCGTCGGCCTATACACTATAACCTTCGGTACCGAGTCTAGTTTGCTCCACCGGCTTATTTTGGTCGGAGCCCTATGCCTGCTCCCCACCACGCCGCACCGCTGATGGGTCGGGGGGCCTAGTCCCTCACACCACCGTAGACCTCGGCCGCAACCTTGTTGTGTTTGGTGCCCCTCCCACCGCGCGGCGCCCTCAGGCAGCCCGGTTCAAGCCACCCCTGCTCTTGAACCACACACCTGTTTCTCTCATCTGGATCTGGCGGACCTATTCAAATGTGGTTTGGGTTCTACAGCGCAATGCCCCCACCTCCGCTTGGGGAAGTCCGTGGACGGAGGCAGACGGAGTCCGTCTGTACGCACCGCGATGACCCCTCCCCATGTTGCCTGTCTCGTGTTCCGCGTCGCGAGGATCGTTGAACACTTTTCCCACCTTTTTCACTGCTGCGGTGGCACTTGTCTCGACTCACCAGCCAATGAGGTTCCGTCCCTCTGCACAAGGAAGCCTCATCTCCCCACTCCCCTGCCTTTGTCATGCGGGCAGATTGGCGCCCAAACCGAGGGCGATTCGACGCTAGGTGGGCGAAAGGCGCGTGGGGATGCTGGGATTGGAGGAAACGAACATTGCGTCACGACAAACACCGAAATCCTTTGACAAATGGGTCTCCTGCTCGCTCGGCTCGCCTCGTTGAGCCAAGCCAATTTCCCCCCTTGCGAACATGGACAGCGCACATCACTGCAACATGGTCGCGTCAGATAAAGCAGCGTGATCGCAGCTCCACCTTCAACTCCAACTCTGTCTCACCTGTAGCGTCAACACAACGGAAGAGTAGACGCTAAGGTCCTTCACTTGCCTCGTAGATCGTGTTTCTTTCCGACCGTTAGTGATCTCGACCAGGATCGTCGCCTAGTCTGCGTTCTACCTTCGCCATGGAATGCATCGCGAGAGCCCCATCCTCGCTCGCCGCGTACTTCCTTCAATCGGCGCGGAAGTGTTCAATTGACGCCCGCGCGATCAGCAGCGGCTCGTCCATCTACCACCAGAATGCCGCGCTCTCCCCCCCCTCCGTCGCGTCCCTCCCAGCAGCGTCACCCACTGATGTGCCGCCAGCGAGCACCGTCACCATGGCGGCCCTCGAGGACATGGCCACACAACTCGCCCGCAACTTGCGCCCTCTCGAAGCCCTCAGACGCTTCATCAAAGGCAAACGGCGCGCGACCGACAGTGCGAGCGAGTGCGGCAAAGTAAGTAGGGATAGGACAGGCACCAACGGAGACGACAGTTACGGCGGGGGGGGGGGTCTTCTGGGCCTAAACGCGCTTCCCCTGCCCGCGTTAGTTCCTTGCCCGATTCCCGTCGTTGCGTCACTCGATAGTACCTCCCACCACGCCACCGCCCACACGCAAGCCGCAGCTGCTGCCGAGCCGCTCACGGCGCCCATGCTCACCGGGTCGGCGCGGCTGACGTCATCGCTGCTGGTGTCGTTCCTGGTGAACTACTCCGTGCTCGTGTCGGACTGGTGGCAGTTCAAGTCCACCGCGCGCGATCACCTCTTCGCCTGCCTAGGCGCAAGATGGCCGCTCGCCGTCACGGCAGTGCACGCTGCTAACGACCCCAACTCTGCCGCTGCTATTGCCGCCACAGCCGCTGCCGCCGCAGCCGTCGCTGCCGCCGCCGCCGCAACTGGCACGACGAGTACGCGTACCCGTCGCGAGCTGTCGCCCGCGTCGCTCATCCGCAAGCTGAGCGGAATGTGGAGCGGCCTCCTCGCGCCCGCCAATGGCCGTGCGGGCGGCAGCGGGGAGGAGACGGGGAGTGAGGAGGAAGATAGCACGGCGGAAGCCGCGGAAAGAGCTGCGGTGGCGGCGCTGGGGAAGGAGGGCATTGACGGGGACGGGAAGGGTGTGCGCGTGGCGCACGTGGTGCGCGACGAGCTGGACCCGCGCATGGTGTGGGCGCAGCGGCAGGCGGACGTGGACGCGGAGGACATGCGGCGGGACTCGCTGGGCGAGCCCGGGTTCTCCTTCTCCGCCGCGGGGCTGCTGTTCCCCTACCACCTGGGCGTCGCGCAATACCTGCTGGACCACGGCTACATCACGGTACGCGCCCCGCGCTGCTACTGCTCCACGCACCTGCGCACAGTACTGCTGCTCTCATGTCCCACGCTGTACCCTCTCCACTCACTCTCGCAGTCGTCCCGCGTCTTGTCTCACGAGCCTATCCCTTGCCATCTGTCTCTTCCCCTCCGCGCAGGACTCGACGCCGCTAGCGGGCGCGTCTGCGGGAGCGCTGGTGAGCGCGGTGGTGGCGACGGGCGTGGAGCCGCGCAGCCTCATGCCGCTCGCGAAGCTCGTGGCTGCGGACTGCCGGCAGAACGGCACGGCCTTCCGCATCGGGGTGAGCGCGCGCGCTGCCCGCCGGGATAACCACCCAGCGCTCCCGCCATCCGTTGCTGCTATATGCTTCTCCGCAGTCGTGCCTGCTTCTGTAAAGCCTCGTGGAGCCATTTCTGAAGCTCTGTCCTCATTTTCTGTGTCGCTTTGGCCCATGATCGCCCCTGCAGGTGCTGCTGCGAGGAGTGTTGAACCGCATTCTCCCCGACGACGCGCACATCAAGTGCTCCGGTCGCATTCGAGGTGAGCCGCCCTTCCTCGCCACGCCACCGGCCCGCCCGCGTCACCCATGGCGCTGAACTAAACTGATTTGCCCACCGTCACGCGCCAATGGCATGTATCGCCCGCATATGGCCTGCACGCTCGTCTCAATCATCTCTTCTCCTTCCCTCGCTGCCTCTCCCCATACCCCCGTGTGCTACCAGTGGCGATCACGCAGGTGTTTGGATCGCCGCGCGGGCTGCTGGTGGACGCGTTCGAGTCCAAGGAGGACCTCGTGGACGCGCTCATCACCTCCTCCTTCGTGCCCGGGTGAGCCACGCCGCACCAAACCACGGCACGGGTGGGGTGGGAGGGAGCGGGTGGGGTTGGGTATTGGGGTGCTGGGGGGTGGAGCATGCCTTGCGAGTGCACGATCAGATGGCTGACGCTTGTGCCTGTCATCGCTGGTGTGCGTGCAGGTACTTGGAACCCCGGGCCGCCACATCTTTCCGCAACCGCATGTGCGTTGATGGAGGCATCTCGCACTTCATCCCACCCACCGCCAGCAAGCACACGGTACGCTCTCATTAGTAGATACCCGCATGAAACTCTGCAGCCTCGTTGTGTCTATGCTTCTGCCCACTCCTCTCCAGCAACTTGTCTCAACACTTGCCGATGATCTTTTCCTCTCTCCCTCTCCTGTGCAGGTGCGTGTGTGTGCGTTCCCAGCGAGCGGCTATGGGATGACGGGCATTGACATTAACCCTGACATGAATACGCTCAACAACCAGTGGACCATGAGACAGGTACAACTCGCCCTCTCATTGACACCCTCCTGAAAGTCCAGCTTCTTAACCAAGCGTCACAGCTTTCTTGTGCCATACGCTCATTACAGCTTTGAACTTCCCAGATAATACCGCCCTCCTCCCTCCCGTATCATTGCTTCACCCATTCCCATGTGCTCCTTATCATCCCTGTGTGTCGCCCCCACCTGGCAGTTCCTCTCATGGGCGCTGGAACCGGCAGAGGATGACATCTGGGATGGGCTCTTCAACAGCGGCTATGCGGATGCTGCCACGTGGGCCAGCACATACACCGGCCCCCTGTACCACCCAACCACCTCCAGTACTCCCAAAACTGGCGCCACCACTTCAGCTGCTGCCAAGATATTTAGCATTGCTAGATAGATGAATAGAATGTTAGGTGCTAAACAAGGATTTGCTCAGTAGTACCGTATGAGCTCAGCAAGGGCTCTTAGTCCACTCTGGCTAATTGTACATGTCTTGATAGGTTGCTGCTTCACTAAGAAGCACATTCACGAATCTTCTGGTCAAGCTCCGAGCCAGGCCCCTAGATTGCAGGAAAATTTTCCTGATTCAGGAGAAAAACAGGGTTGTTGCTGGTACCAGCCCTGATTGCGCAGGATTTTATTGAAGGCATGTCCTGATTTATCAGCCTTTTATTAGTGGTCAACTCTGATTGCTCCGCAAGGTTTTCTTAGCGAACCTTGAAATTTCAGCTTTGTAACGAACTGTACCCGTTTCTGCCAATGCTTGATTTGGGGGGTCTCCCGAGATTTGAGGTTGTTCCCCCCTCTAGGCTGTGAGAGGGCTGATTCGCCCTTAGAGGCTCGATGCGTGCTTGGTGTCAAACATGTTTAGTTATCATGCTTGTATAGACTGTATAGGGTCATCTTCTAGAGAGTACAACAGTTAGGTATATGTTTGTGTACTCTCTCTCTCTATTCATCAATTTCACTGTTTGATATGGTATCACGCGTAGGTAGGATCCCCCCCCCCCCCCCCCCCCCCTCACGCTTCCGCTCGCCCCCTAGCTGGGCCCCGTCGTGCTCCTAGCCCCGTCGCGACCCTCCCTAGCCCCGTCGCGCCCCTTCCTGGGCCCCGTTGCGCCCCTTTCTGGGCCCCGTCGCGCTCCTCCCAGGCCTCGTAGCGCCCCTCCTGGGCCCCACTGCGCTCCTCCCAGGCCCCGTCGCGCCCCTTCCAGGGCTTCGTAGCGCCCCTCCAGGCCCCGTCGCGCCCCTTTCAGGGCTTCGTAGCGCCCCTCCAGGCCCCGTCGCGCCCCTTTCAGGGCTTCGTAGCGCCCCTCCAGGCCCCGTCGCGCCCCTTCCAGGGCCTGGTAGCGCCCCTCCAGGGCCCCGTCGCGCTCCTCCCAGGCCCCGTAGCGCCCCTCCTGGGCCCCATTGCGCTCCTTCCAGGCCCCGTCGCGCCCCTCCCTAGCCCAGTCGCGCTCCTCCCAGGCCCCGTAGCGCCCCTCCTGGGCCCCATTGCGCTCCCCCCAGGCCCCGTCGCGCCCCTACCTGGGCTTGGTAACGCCCCTCCAGGCCCCGTCGCGCCCCTACCCATCCCCGTCGCCCCTGCTCGGCCCCGTCGCCCCTGCTCGGCCCCGTCGCGGCCTATCGGCCGCGTGGCGCCCGCCCGGCCCCTGACGCACCTGCCCGGCCCCTGCTCGCCCGCCCGGCCCCGTCGCCCCTGCCCGGCCCTGCTGTGGCCTGCCCGGGCCCCGTCCCTGCCGCCCGGCCCCGTCGCCGCCGCCCGGCCCCGTCGCAGCCGCCCGGCCCCGTCGCAGCCGCCCGGCCCCGTCGCAGCCGCCCGGCCACGTCGCAGCCGCCCGGCCACGTCGCAGCCGCCCGGCCCCGTCGCCCCTGCCCGGCCCTGCTGTGTCCGGCCCGGCCTCGTCCCTGCCGCCCGGCCCCGTCGCAGCCGCCCGGCCCCGTCGCAGCCGCCCGGCCACGTCGCAGCCGCCCGGCCTTGTCGCTGCCGCCCGGCCCCGTCGCCGCCGCCCGGCCCCGTCGCCGCCGCCCGGCCTTGTCGTGCCTGCCCGGCCCCGACGCACCTGCCCCGGCCCTCCATACTTCCTGGTACTGTCCCCCGTTCCCCGCACCACTTTGCACCCTCCTGCACTTTCCTGCCCCGCCTTGCATCGCATTGCACCTCACTGGATCGCACTGACCGCACTGCACCGCACTGGACCGCACTGCACCGCACTGCATCGCACTGCACCGCACTGGACCGCACTGCACCGCACTGGACCGCACTGCATCGCACTGCACCGCACTGGACCGCACTACACCGCACTGCATCGCACTGCATCGCACTGCACCGCACTGGACCGCACTGCACCGCACTGCATCGCACTGCACCGCACTGCACTGTCCTCCACTGCCCCTCATGGCTGCTGAGCTTCGTTTTGATGTTGAGGGTCAGCCTCTGGAGTTCGAGGCGTGGTTGGCTGACCTTCGCCGCCACCTCACTGGCCAGCGGCAGGACGGCCACCCGCTTTCTGCACACCTAGACGGTATGCTCCCCTGCCCTGACCCCCCTGCTGTGCTGCCCGCTGATCCCACGCCCGCTGAGCGCGAGTCCACTGCCGCTGCTGCCCTTGCCCGCTCTGTCTGGCTTTCCCGCGATGCCCTTGCTCAGCTCGCCATTAGCAATGCCCTCCCCCCCACTGAGCGCCCTCGCTTTAGAACCATTCCTACCGCCCAGGCCTACCTCGATGCTGTCATCAAGCGCTATTCTACCCCTCCTGCTGCCTCAGTGGGTCGCCTGATCCTTCCCCTGCTCTTTCCTGACCTGGCGTCTTTCCCCACTGTCTCTGACCTCGCTGCCCACCTGCGCTCGATAGATGAGGCCTGGCGCGCTGCCTGCACTGATGCTCAGCTTAGAGTCCACCAGCCTCCCATGACCTCTACCCTCTACCTCCTTGCCACCCGCCTACCTGACCGCCTTGCCGCCGCCCGCGACCAGTTCCTTAGCATCCACCCTGCTGCTCTCACCCTCACCGACTTTGTTGACACCCTGACTGCCATAGAGACTCGTCACCGCTCCATAGCCCTGGCGAGCGGTACAGTACCGGTCCCTATCTTTCAGGGTTGTGCCCCTGCTCAGTGTACCTTCTCCGACGGCTCTGTTGCTGTGGCTGAGACTGCTGCTGCAGTGCAGTCCCGCTCGGCGAAGGGCCGCCGCCCCAAGGTTGGGAGCGGCGGAGGCGGCGGGGGTGCGGGTGGGGGTAGTGGTGGAGGCGGGTCGTCCGGTGCCGGTGCGGACGTGGGGACCCTGCCCGGTCCAGCTGCCCCGCTGCCTCCACAGTTGCAGCAGCCGCAGCAGCAGCAGTCGCCGCAGCCGCAGCCTTCGCTGCAGCCGCAGCAGCCGCCGCAGACGAGGCAGGCGAGTACTCTCCCACCTGGGTGGCCTAGAGCTGGTGGTGGTCGTGCGTGTGGTGGTGCACCGGGTGGTGGTTCTGGAGGCGGGCACTGTCAGTACCAGATCCAGACCGGTCCTCGCCGCGGCTTCGTTTGCGGTAAGATCGGTCATTCTACTCCTCGCTGTTTTCGTCGCCTGGACGACCTGTTCCGCCAGCGCTTTGGCCCGGCGCCCGACCTCCCGGACTGGCACAGCTTGCTTAGGCGTAGCATTAGGATTTTTGACTTGGACATGGATGCCATTCTAGCGGCCTTGCATGTGATGTATGCTGATGACTCTAGTGTGCTTCCCTCTTATTACCCCGTGTTGCCTAGTGTAGCGGTGCCTAGCGTAGACTCCCCTGCTGCGTCAGGCGTAGGATCTCCTGCTTTGCTTAGCCTTGGTGCTTCCACCGCTTCACTGCTGCCTCGCGCGACTGCTGCGCTTTCCTTCACCTTGGACTCTGGCGCCTCCCGGTGTTTCTTCCGCGACTCCACGACGCTGACGCCGCTGCCTGTTCCCGCTGCAGTTACTCTTGCTGACCCCTCCGGTGGTCCCGTCGTTGCCCGCAGTTCCACCTCCCTTCCCTGTCCGGCGGTTCCTTCGGGCACTCTCATAGGTCTGCATATCCCCTCGTTCTCCAGGAACCTAGTTGGTGTCGGCTGCCTCCAGGACCTTGGCGTCACCACTACGTTCCCTGGTCACGAGCGGTATGCTGTCTGTACCGAGGCCGCCTCTGGTGCCCCCCTTACCACTTTCCCCCGGGACCCGGTGTCCGGCCTGTTCACACTTGACACCGCGCCGTCCCCGGCTGGGTCTTCCCCCCCGGTAGCTGCGTCCACCCAGGTTGCAGCCGCGTGCTCCTGTCGGTCCCTCACTCACCCGACTCTCCTTTGGCACCACCGCCTTGGTCACCCTGCACTCCCACGTCTGCGTCACATGTCCCAGCACGGTCTCGTCCTTGGTCTCCCCGGTTCGTTCCCCGAGTTTCCCTCCTCCCCCGCCCCACCGTGCACGCCTTGTGTCGAGGGTCGGCTCCGCCGTGCCCCTCACTCCTCCTCTTTTCCCCCTACCACCGCACCACTGCAGACTCTGCACATGGACGTCTGGGGCCCAGCCCCGGTCCATGGGCCGCGTCGCGAGCGCTTCTTCCTAGTGCTTGTCGACGACTTCACGCGCTACACCACCGTCTTCCCCCTGGAGCGGAAGGCCGACGTGCCTGACGTTCTCATCCCCTGGCTTGTCTCTGCTCGTGTCCACCGCGGTCTCCCTGCCTTGCGCCTTCACTCTGACCGGGGTGGCGAGTTTGCCTCAGGTGTCCTTGGTCGCTTCTGTCGTGCGGAGGGCATCACCCAGACGTTTACCCTGCCGGACTCCCCGCAGCAGAATGGGGTCGCTGAGCGACGCATCGGTTTGGTCATGGAGGTGGCTCGCACCTCCATGATCCACGCCGGTGCACCCCATTTTCTGTGGCCGTTCGCCGTGCGCTACGCCGCTCACCAGCTTAACCTGTGGCCGCACCCCCAGCGGCCGCAGGTTTTGCCGACCCTTCTGTGGACTGGGTCCCCTGGTGACGCGTCTGCGTTCCGCGTCTGGGGCTGCCTTGCTCACGTTCGTGCCTCTGGCACGGACAAGCTCACTGCCCGCACCCTCCCCTGCGTCTTCCTCGGTTTCCCCCTTGACGCGTCCGACTGGCACTTCTACCACCCGCCGTCTCACCGCTTCTTTCACTCTCGCGACGTCACCTTTGACGAGTCCGTCTCCTTCTACCGCCGCTTTCCCCACCGTGGTCCCCCGGTTACTCCCCCCCTTTTCCTGGTTCCTCCCTCCCTGGTGGTCCCTGCCCCTCCCCCCCCCCGCCCCCCGTCCGGCCCCCTCTGGTGTGTCTCACGTCACCCCCCTCCCGTCGGTCGTCCCGGTCGACGAGTCTTCTGACTCTGGTAGTCCTCCGGCGCAGTCCTCGCCGTCTGTCCCTCCCCCGGTGTCTCCTCCTCCACCGCCTCCGCAGCCGCCGTCGCCGCAGCTGCTGCAGCCGTCGTCTCCACCGCCGCCGCCGTTGCAGCCGTCGTCTCCGCCGCCGCCGCCGTCGCAGCCGTCGCTGCAGCCGCCGCCGCCGCCGCCGCCGCTGTCGTCGCTGCCGCCGTTTGTGGACTCTGGGGGTGTCCCTTCTGGGGGTGCAGGTGTGGAGGGTTCGGGAGGTAGCCGTCGCGCAGCTTGTGGCCCTGGTGTTGGTGTTGTGTCGCCGCAGCAGCAGTCCCCGCCTGTGTCCGCCCTCCGTCTGCTCGGCCTTCCGTCTCCTGACCCTGCGCCTGTTCCTCTCCTGCCGTCTCCCCCTCTTCCCGTCTACGGCCCCGTGTTCCCTCTGCCAGACTCGTCCCCGGCTCGTCTTCCCCCTCGTTCCCCTCCTGTGTCCCCTCCTCTGTCTCCTGACCCGACGCCGCCCTCACACGTCTGGTCTCGCCGCCCCTCTCGTGCTCGTCCTGTCTCCCCTGTCCCGCGCTCTCACCCTATGTTGCTCCGTTCCCACGCGTCTCGACCTCCCCTCCTCCCGTCTCCTCCTCCGTCTTCTCTTGTCGTTGCGTCTCCTCCTCTGTCCGACTCCTTTCGTGCCGCTCGTCCTCTTGTTCCTCGGGTCCTTGCCTCTCTCGTTACCGACCCGTCTGTTCCCGTGTCGAGTCTTGACGCCCTCGTCGCTGCGGTCGCTGACTTCGCCTCTACCCGCCGCCTTGACTACGCCACCGCTCTGGTCTCTCACCCTGCCTGTCCTCCGTCTGTCGGGGGTGCTCCTGCCCTCGGCAGTGACGTCCTGGAGGACCGCCAGTTTGAGCTTGCTTTCCTGTCCGAGGCTGCTCCCCATCTCTGTTCCATGCTGCTAGTCCCTGAGGGTGACCCAGACGCTTTCGACATCCCGACCCCTCGTACTTACGCTGAGGCGGTTTCGGGACCCTGGGCCTCTCAGTGGATAGCTGCCATGGAGCAGGAGATGGCATCTTGGAGATCCACCGGCACCTTCGTCGACGCAGTTCCCCCACCTGGGGTGAACGTGGTCGATAGCCGTTGGCTCTTCAAGGTGAAGCGCCCTCCTGGAGAGCCGCCTGTGTTCAAGGCGCGCTACGTGGCTAGAGGCTTCAGTCAGCGCGAGGGGGTGGACTTCTTTCAGACTTTCGCTCCTACCCCGAAGATGACTACTCTTCGGGTGCTGCTACACGTAGCGGCTCAGCGTGACTACGAGCTTCACTCCCTCGACTTCTCCACTGCCTTTCTTCAGGGCAGCCTTCACGAGCAGGTCTACCTGCGTCGCCCTCAGGGCTTTACTGGCACCTTCCCCCCTGGGACCCAGTGGCTTCTGCGGCGGCCAGTCTACGGCCTGCGCCAGGCGCCTCGTGAGTGGCACGACACTTTGCGTGCTACCCTTGCTGACCTGCAGTTCTTTCCGTCCTCTGCAGACCCCTCGCTCTTCGTTCGTGCTGGCTCGACTCCGTTCTACATCCTCGTCTACGTAGACGACCTGGTCTTTGCCACTGCTGACAGGGACGCACTGGCCTCCGTGAAGGCAGAGCTGCTGAAGAGACACACCTGCACTGACCTTGGAGAGCTGCGCCGTTACCTTGGCTTGCAGATCTCCAGGGACAGAGCCGCGCGCACCATCACCCTGACTCAGTCACACTTGGTGCGCCAGGTCCTTCAGAGGTTCGGCCTTCAGTTCTCCTCCGCACAGCCCACCCCTCTTCCTCTGGACCACAGACTCTCCGCTCCAGTTCCTGAGGAGTCGGTAGATCCCAGTGGTCCTTACGCTGAGCTAGTGGGTTGCCTCATGTACCTGATGACTAGCACTCGCCCAGATCTCGCATACCCTCTCAGCATCCTGGCTCGTTTCGTGGCCACAGGCAGGCACCGACCTCAGCACTGGTCTGCCGCTAAGAGGGTTTTGCGTTATCTTGCAAGTACATCGGGCATGGGGTTAGTGCTAGGCGGACGCAGGCCAGTGGTCCTTACTGGACACACAGACGCTTCTTGGGCAGACGACGCCGAGACGCTCAGGTCTTCCCAGGGCTACTGCTTTAGCCTTGGTTCAGGTGCTGTCTCGTGGAGAGCTACCCGCTCTTCGTCTGTTGCCCAGTCCAGCTGTGAGGCCGAGATCTACGCCGGTGCCATGGCGGCACAGGAGCTCCGCTGGCTGACCTTCTTGCTCACTGACTTAGGTGAGCAGCCTAGCTCTGCCCCGGTCCTGTACGCTGACAACAGGGCCATGATCCTCCTGTGTCAGGAGCCTCGACTCGAGGGCAGAGCGAAGCACATCCAGCTGCGGTACTTCCTCCTGCGTGAGCTACAGCAGCGTCGCCAGGCTCGCGTAGTACACTTAGCCTCCGGTGCCAACACAGCTGATATCTTTACGAAGGCGCTTGCGCCTAAAGATCATCAGCGGCACTGTGTACAGCTTGGTCTGGTTCCTGTAGTCTCTCACTTACTCGGGCCTTGACTCTGTACTGTCCTATATATCTGTGTGTACACTCAGACTGGACTTGTGTCCTCTTACAGTGGTTGGACTAGTAGTGCCGCCCTGTACTAGTTCTTGCCTTGCCTGTACTCCTTCTGACTGGTCTTTTAGACCCTTGTCTCAGAGGCTGGACTAGTAGTGCCACCCTGAGCTGCTTGTCTAGAACATTCCCCTATGCAGTCCAGGGGGTGTGTCAAACATGTTTAGTTATCATGCTTGTATAGACTGTATAGGGTCATCTTCTAGAGAGTACAACAGTTAGGTATATGTTTGTGTACTCTCTCTCTCTATTCATCAATTTCACTGTTTGATACTTGGGGCTGTGTGAGGGCACTTGATCAGGGCCCAAAATTGGTTTTGGGCCGCCCTTTGAAAACAGGGTCGCCCCACCGAAACACCCTGTCACACAGGGTACCTAACTCAGGGTAGTCTGATTTTTCAGGGTAAAATTTTTGCAGCACTGTTTACACAGGGTATATTTAAAACCACCCTGTTCTTCATTGCCACTGCATTGCAATTTAAAGCCATTGACTACAATAGCGAAACTGTTTTGAACTTCGGATGGACAGGAGCTTGGGCTATGTATGTTGCTGACTTGACGAAATGTATAGTTCGACACGTTTGACGAAATTGCGACTCAAGCGAATTGTGCGTGGGGGGCGAAATTGGATTGGAGGGGCGTGGCAGGGCCAATGAACGTTTCACAGACCCTCCAGCACACATCGGCAGAAACATTTGAAGGTACAATCGGTCCCCTCACACCTCCTCCAGTCAATTTTGGAGGAAATTTGGCTAAGGGCCAATCAGCACCCTCCCTCACACAGTCCCCACCCCAGCACACATCGAGCGCTGAGCGCTGATTTTGGCTAAGGGCCAGTTAGCGCCCTCACACAGCCCCCAGCACGCATCGAGCCTTGATTTCGGCGAAGGGCCAGTTAGCGCCTACACAGTCTCCAGCACGCATCTGGCACTGATTTTGGCTGGCCAGACAGCGCATTAAGGGTAGTTGCCTGTCAAACATGTGTATTTGTCATGTTTGTATAGACTGTATAGGGTCACCTCTTAGAGGGTACAACACTTAGGTATATCTGTGTGTACTCTCACTCTACCATTATTCACTTCTCTAATTCTGATATGGTATCACGCGTAGGTTAGGATCCCCCCCCCCCCCACCTACCGCTTCCGCTCGCCCCCCTCGCTCGGCCCCGCCGTGCCTCCCTCCTAGCCCCGTCGTGCCCCTAGCCCCGTCGCGACCCCCCTAGCCCCGTCGCGCCCTTCCTAGGCCCCGTCGCGCCCCTCCTGGGCCCCGTAGCGCCCCTCCTGGGCCCCGTCGCGCCCTTCCTGGGCCCCGTAGCGCCCCTCCTGGGCCTTGTCGCGCCCCTCCTAGGCCCCGTCGCGCCCCTCCTGGGCCCCGTAGCGCCCCTCCTGGGCCCCGTCGCGCCCCTCCTAGGCCCCGTAGCGCCCCTCCTGGGCCTCATCGCGCCCCTCCTGGGCTCCGTAGCGCCCCTCCTGGGCCCCGTCGCGCCCCTCCTGGGCCCCGTAGCGCCCCTCCTGGGCCCCGTCGTGCCCCTCCTGGGCCCCATAGCGCCCCCCCCTGGGCCCCGTCGCGCCCCCCCCTGGGCCCCTCCTGGGCCCCGTAATGCCCCTCCTGGGCCCCGTAGCGCCCCTCCTGGGTTCCGTCGCGCCCCTCCTGGGCCCCGTAGTGCCCCTCCTGGGCCCCGTCGCGCCCCTCCTGGGCCCCTCCTGGGCCCTGTCGTGCCCCTCCTGGGCCCTGTACCGCCCTTCCTGGGCCCCGTAGCGCCCCTCCTGGGCCGCGTCGAGCCCCCTCCTGGGCCCCGTCACGCCTTCCGGCCCCGTCGCACCCGCCCGGCCCCGTCGCACCAGCCCGGCCCCGTCGCGCCCGTCTGGCCCCGTCGCACCCGCCCGGCCTCGTCGCCCCCTGCCCGGCCCCGTCGCAGCCGCCCGGCCCCGTCGCACCCGTCCGGCCCTGTCGCGCCCGCCCAGCCCCGGTGCGCCCCTCCTTGGCCCCGTCGTGCCCCTCCTGGGCCACCGTCCCGCTCGCCCGGCCCCGTCGCACCGGCCCGGCCCCGTCGCACCGCCCGGCCCCGTCGCACCAGCCCGGCCCCGACGCACCTGCCCGGCCCTGTCGCACCAGCCCGGCCCCGTTGTGCCCGCCCGGCCCCGTCGCACCCGCCCGGCCCCGTTGCACCGGCCCGGCCCCTGCGCTCGTCCCTGCCCCGGCCCCGGTCCTCCTCACTGGTACGGTTCTCCCCCCCCCCCCGCCCTGCACTGCCCTGCACCGTACTGCCCCGCACTGCACCGCCCCGCACCACACTGTACTGCCTGGCACCGCACTGCACCGCACTGTACTGCACGGCACCGCACTCCACCTTGCTGCACTGCCCTGCACCGCACTGCACTGTTCCTGATGGCGGCGGAGCTTCGCTTCGACGCTGAAGGCCAGCCTCTGGAGTTCGAGGCGTGGCTTGCCGACCTCCGCCGCCAACTCACTGGCCAGCGGCAGGATGGTGAACCGCTTTCCGCACACCTTGACGGTACGCTCCCCTGCCCAGACCCCCCTGCTATTTTGCCCGCTGACTGCACCCCCACTGAGCGCGAGTCTACTGCTGCCACTGCCCGTGCGCGCTCTGTCTGGCTTTCTCGCGATGCTGTCGCCCAGCTTGCCATTAGCAACGCCCTTCCCCCGTCCGAGCACCCTCGCTTTAGGTCCCTCACCACTGCTCAGGCATACTTAGATGCTGTCATCCAGCGCTATTCCACCCCTCCAGCTGCCTCGGTGGGTCGCCTGATCCTCCCGATGCTCTTTCCTGACCTTGCATCTTTCCCTACTGTCTCTGACCTCGCTGCCCACCTGCGCTCGATAGATGAGACCTGGCGCGCTGCCTGCACTGATGCACAGCTTAGAGCCCACCAGCCGCCCATTACCTCTACCCTCTACCTGCTTGCCACCCGCCTCCCTGACTGCCTTGCTGTCGCCCGCGACCGCTTCCTTAGCATTCACCCCGCACACCTCACCCTCACTGACTTTGTAGACACCCTGACTGTGATAGAGACCCGTCACCGCTCCATCGCCCAGGCGAGCGGTGTCGTGCCGGTCCCTATCTTTCAGGGTTGTGCCCCCGCTCAGTGTACCTTCTCCGACGGCTCTGCCGCAGTAGCTGAGACTGCTGCTTCAGCGCAGTTTCGTTCGGGGAAGGGCCGCCGCCCCAAGGTTGGGCGCGGCGGAGGCGGAGGCGGGGGTGCGGGAGGGGGTAGTGGTGGGGTCGGGTCGTCTGGTGCTGGAGCGGACGAAGGGACCCTGCCCAGTCCAGCTGAGCCGCCGCCCCTGCAGTTGCAGCAGCCGCAGCAGCCGCCGCAGTCGCAGCCTTCGCAGCAGCCGCAGCAGCCGTCGCAGACACGGCAGACGAGTGTCCTCCCGCCCAGGTGGCCCGGCGCTGGCGGTGGCCGGGCGCGTGGTGGTGTGCCGAGTGGTGGCTCTGGCGGCGGGCGTTGTCAGTACCAGATCCAGACCGGTCCTCGCCGCGGCTTCGTTTGCGGTAAGATCGGTCACTCCACTCCCCGCTGTTTTCGTCGCCTGGACGACCTCTTTCGTCAGCGCTTCGGCCCGTCGCCAGACCTCCCGGACTGGCACAGTTTGCTTAGTCGTAAGATTCAGATCTTTGATATGGACATGGATGCCATTGTTTCTGCTCTGCATGTGATGAATGCTGATGACTCTAGTGTGCTTCCAACTTATTACTCACTGTTGCCTAGTGTAGGTGTGCCTAGCGTAGCCTCCCCTGCTGCGTCAGGCGTAGGATCCTCTGCTTTGTGTAGTCTTGGTGCTTCCGCCGTCATTCCGTCGCCAGCCGCCTCTGCTTCGCTTTCCTTCACCTTGGACTCTGGCGCTTCTCGGTGTTTCTTCCGCAACTCCACCACCCTGACGCCGCTTCCTGTTCCTGCTGCCGTTTCTCTTGCTGACCCCTCCGGCGGTCCGGTAGTCGCCCGCAGTTCTACCACCCTTCCCTGTCCGGCGGTTCCTTCGGGCACTCTCACAGGTCTGCATATCCCCTCGTTCTCCAGGAACCTAGTTGGTGTCGGCTGCCTCCAGGACCTTGGCGTCACCACTACGTTCCCTGGTCACGAGCGGTATGCTGTCTGTACCGAGGCCGCCACTGGTGCCCCCCTGTCCACGTTCCCCCGGGACCCGGTGTCCGGCCTGTTCACTCTGGACACCGTGACCCCCCCGGCTGGAGCGCTCACCCAGGTTGCTGCCGCCTGCTCCTGTCGCTCCCTCACTCACCCGACCCTCCTTTGGCACCACCGCCTAGGTCACCCTGCGCTCCCGCGTCTACGTCACATGTCCCAGCACGGTCTTGTCCTTGGTCTCCCAGGTTCTCTCCCCGCGTTTCCCTCCTCCCTAGCCCCACCTTGCACGCCTTGTGTCGAGGGTCGGCTTCGCCGTGCCCCTCACTCCTCCTCGTTTCCCCCTACCGCCGCGCCGCTGCAGACCCTGCACCTGGACGTCTGGGGCCCCGCCCCCGTCCCTGGGCCGCGTCGAGAGCGCTACTTCCTTGTGCTTGTCGACGACTTCACTCGTTACACCACAGTCTTTCCCCTGGAGCGCAAGGCCGACGTGCCTGGCGCTCTCATCCCCTGGCTTGTCTCTGCGCGTGTCCACCGCGGTCTCCCTTTCTTGCGTCTTCACTCAGACCGTGGTGGCGAGTTTGCGTCCAGTGTCCTTGGTCGCTTTTGTCGTGCGGAGGGCATCACCCAGACGTTCACCCTACCGGACTCCCCACAGCAGAATGGGGTCGTTGAGCGACGCATCGGTTTGGTCATGGAGGTGGCTCGCACCTCCATGATCCATGCCGGTGCACCCCATTTTCTGTGGCCGTTCGCTGTGCGCTACGCTTCTCACCAGCTTAACTTGTGGCCGCACCCTCAGCAGCCGCAGGTTTCGCCGACCCGTCTTTGGACTGGGTCTCCTGGTGACGCGTCTGCGTTCCACGTCTGGGGCTGCCTTGCTCACGTTCGTGCCTCCGGCACGGACAAGCTCACTGCCCGCACCCTTCCCTGCGTCTTCCTCGGTTTTCCTCTTGACGCGTCCTACTGGCACTTTTACCACCCGCCGTCTCACCGCTTCTTTCACTCTCGTGACGTCACCTTTGACGAGTCCGTCCCCTACTACCGTCGCTTCCCCCACCGGGGTCCCCCGGTTAGCCCCCCCCTGTTCCTGGTCACTCCTTCCCCGGTAGTCCCTGCCCCTCCTCCTCCTCCTCCCTGTCCCGCCCCCTCTGGTGTGTCCCACGTCACCCCCCTTCCGTCGGAGGACCCGGTTGAGGAGTCTTCGGACTCTGGTTGCCCTCCTGTGCAGTCCTCGCCGGCCGCCCCTCCCCCGGCGTCCCCTCCCCAGTCCCCTCCTCCACCGCCTCTGCCGCCGCTGCAGCCGTCGTTGTCGCTGCCGCCGCAGCCGCCGCCGCCGCCGCCGTCGCAGCCCCCGTTCGCTGACTCTGGGGGTGCTGGTGTGGAGAGTGCCGGTGGTAGCCGAGGAGCAGCTTGCGGTCCAGGTGTCGCCGTTGTGCCGCCACAGCAGCAGTCCCCGCCGGTGTCAGCCCTTCGCCTGCTCGGCCTTCCGTCCCCCGACCCTGCGTCTGTTCCTCCCCGACCGTCTCCTCCTCTTCCTATCTACGGCCCTGTTTTCCCTCCGCCGGACTCGTCCCCGGCCTGTCTCCCCCCTCGTTCCCCTCCTATGTCCCCTCCCCTTTCCCCTGACCCGACTCCTCCGTCGCACGTCTGGTCTCACCGTCCCTCCCGTGCTCGTCCTGCCTCGCCTGTCTTGCGCTCCCACCCTATGTTGCTTCGTTCCCACGCGTCTCGTCCTCCCCTTCTGCCGTCGCCTCCTCCGTCCTCCCTTGTTGTTGCACCCCCCCCGCTGTCTGACTACCTTCGTGCCGCTCGTCCCCTTGTTCCTCGGGTCCTTGCCTCTCTCGTTACCGACCCGTCTGTTCCGGTCTCGTGCCTTGACGCTCTTGTCGCTGCTGTCGCTGACTTCGCCTCTACCCGCCGCCTTGACTACGCCACAGCTCTGGTCTCTGACCCTGCCTGTCCTCCGTCTGTCGGGGGTGCTCCTGCCCTTGGCAGTGACGTCCTGGAGGACCGCCAGTTCGAGCTTGCTTTCCTCTCCGAGGCTGCTCCCCATCTATGTTCCATGCTGCTAGTCCCTGAGGGTGACCCAGACGCTTTCGACATCCCGACCCCTCGCACTTACGCTGAGGCGACCTCGGGACCTTGGGCCTCCCAGTGGATAGCTGCCATGGAGCAGGAGATGGCATCTTGGAGATCCACCGGCACCTTCGTGGACGCAGTTCCCCCGCCTGGGGTGAACGTAGTCGATGGCCGCTGGCTCTTCAAGGTGAAGCGCCCTCCTGGAGAGCCGCCTGTGTTCAAGGCGCTCTATGTGGCTAGAGGCTTCAGTCAGCGCGAGGGGGTGGACTTCTTCCAGACCTTCGCTCCGACCCCGAAGATGACTACTCTTCGGGTTCTGTTACACCTAGCTGCTCAGCGTGACTACGAGCTTCACTCCCTCGACTTCTCCACTGCCTTCCTTCAGGGCAGCCTACACGAGCAGGTCTACTTGCGTCGCCCTCAGGGCTTTACTGGCACCTTCCCTCCTGGGACCCAGTGGCTCCTACGGCGCCCCGTCTACGGCCTGCGCCAGGCTCCCCGTGAGTGGCACGACACTCTCCGTGCTACGCTTGCTGACCTGCAGTTCTTTCCGTCTTCCGCATACCCTTCACTCTTCGTTCGTGCTGGCCAGACTCCGTTCTACATCCTTGTTTACGTAGACGACCTGGTCTTTGCCACAGCAGACAAGGACGCACTGGCATCCGTGAAGGCAGAGCTGCTGAAGAGACACACGTGCACTGACCTTGGAGAACTGCGCCGCTACCTTGGCTTGCAGATCTCCAGGGACAGAGCATCGCGCACCATCACCCTGACTCAGTCACACTTGGTGCGCCAGGTCCTTCAGAGGTTCGGTCTTCAGTTCTCCTCTGCACAGCCCACCCCTCTGCCTGTAGACCACAGACTCTCCGCTCCAGTGTCTGAGGAGTTGGTAGAGCCCAGTGGCCCCTACGCAGAGCTGGTGGGTTGCCTCATGTACCTGATGACTTGCACTCGCCCAGATCTCGCATACCCTCTCAGCATCCTGGCTCGCTTTGTGGCCACAGGCAGACACCGACCGCAGCACTGGTCTGCCGCTAAGAGGGTTCTGCGTTATCTTGCTAGTACATCGGGCATGGGGTTAGTGCTAGGAGGACGCAGGCCAGTGGTCCTTAGTGGACACACAGACGCTTCGTGGGCAGACGACGCCGAGACACTCAGGTCTACCCAGGGCTACTGCTTCAGCCTTGGCTCAGGTGCCGTCTCGTGGAGAGCTACCCGCTCCTCGTCTGTTGCGCAGTCCAGCTGTGAGGCTGAGATCTACGCTGGTGCCATGGCGGCACAGGAGCTCCGCTGGCTGACCTTCTTGCTCACTGACTTAAGTGAGCGGCCTAGCTCTGCCCCGGTCCTGTTCGCTGACAACAGGGCCATGATCCTCCTGTGTCAGGAGCCTCGACTCGAGGGCAGAGCGAAGCACATTCAGCTGCGGTACTTCCTCCTGCGTGAGCTACAGCAGCGACGTCAGGCTCGCGTAGTACACTTGGCCTCAGGTGCCAACACGGCTGATATCTTTACGAAGGCGCTTGCGCCTAAAGATCATAAGCGGCACTGTGTACAGCTTGGTCTAGTTCCTGTAGCCTCTCACTTGCTAGGACCTTGACTTTGTACTGTCCTTTATATGTATACTCAGACTGGACTTGTGTCCTCTCCCAGTGGCTGGACTAGTAGTGCCGCCCTGCTCTTGTTCTTGCCTTGTCTGTACCCCTTCTGACTGGACTAGTAGTGCCGCCCTGAGCTGCTTGTTTAGGACATTCCCCTATGCAGTCTAGGGGGTGTGTCAAACATGTGTATTTGTCATGTTTGTATAGACTGTATAGGGTCACCTCTTAGAGGGTACAACACTTAGGTATATCTGTGTGTACTCTCACGCTACCATTATTCACTTCTCTAATTCTGATAGTTGCCTTGCTGCCCTGCTTCATCAGGGCTGGAGGGTCGCAAACCCTGGTTTTCGAAGGGTAAAACATTTGCTACACTTTTTGAATCAGGGCTGGAAAATCGGAAACCCTGAAAAATCAGTCTAGCTCGAAAAACTACCCTGAAAATCAGAGTAATCAGGGCATTTTACCCGGATATTTTGGGCCCTGCACTTGATAGCCCTTAGCGAAATTTTGGGTTCGATGTGTGCCTTGGAGCCTTGTGAGGGCGAGAATCCCCTTCGCCCCTGCAATCTCGCCCGCCTAACCAAATTTGTGTCTCGCCCCATAATTTCGCCCTGCACTTCTAACATTCGCTGTGGGAGAAAGTAACCACAAACCTTCGAGAATTAAGGAAAGTTTTAGTAAGTAGAGTTGTTTGCTCAGGAACAAAATCCATTGAGTCCTGATTCATGAGAATGTTTTTTTGGGCCTACCCTGAAAAATCAGGGGAAAACTCAGGGGGGGTCCTGACTGTCACAAGACTAGCTTAGCTAGGAAGCCATAGAATGGCACAAGGTTTAGCTAGGAGCTAGGAGGAGCCATGAGAATGGCGTGAGGTTTTAGGTGCTAGGAAAGTTGAGGAGAGAAAAAAGGGTTGGAAATAGAAGAGAGAGGGATACAAGGAGGAGTGTTGTACCCTCTACAGTAAAGTTCAGTAACCTACCAAGCCTAACAATTATATAACACAATATATAATTTTAACACACCCCCTAGGCTTGGTAGTCACATGCCCACACACACCTACACCCCCTAACCTAGCAACCCCATTCCAGCCACAGTGACAGCGACACTAGGTCGGTCGACCCCACGGCGCGTGAGGCGGCGACGTCGACCGCAGGGGCTGCGGCGGCGACGGCGGCAGCGGCGGCAGTGTCGACAGCGGCGGCGGCGGCGGCATGCGGCTGCGTGGCCCCGACGCAAGCGGCGACAGCGGCAGCGGCGGCGGCTTCGACAACAGCGACGGCGGCGGCGGCGCTCGCACCTCTCGGTGACGTGGCCAGGCCCCGCGACGGTGGGACGGCCGGCGGAAGTCAGCCGTCGTCTGCGGAAAGGAAGAGGACACAGGGGAAGGAGGGGGGGGACGCCACAAGCTGACATGCGGGCGGCCGGTCTAGCGGCGCCACAGGCGTCGCACGGTCGGCTGCAGCCCGACGACGCCGTCACAGAGCGGCGTCGATGCCGCAGCAGGACGTCAACGCTTCGACGGCAGCACGATGGCGCCGTCACGCCGACTGCGCGCTGTCGCGTAGACGCCGCGGCAGCGTGACGGCGCCGTCACGTCGCCACAGCAGCTTGACGCGACGTCGAAGCCGCGGCACGACGACACGGCCACAGTAGCTGGACGCGGGCGCCATGGACGCGCGAGAGAGGGAGAGAAACAAGCACGCAGCGGAAACGTGAGGAGCAGCCCACAAGGAACGAACTGCTCTAATGCCATGTCACAAGACTAGCTTAGCTAGGAAGCCATAGAATGGCACAAGGTTTAGCTAGGAGCTAGGAGGAGCCATGAGAATGGCATGAGATTTTAGGTGCTAGGAAAGTTGAGGAGAGAAAAAGGGGTTGGAAATAGAAGAGAGAGGGATACAAGGAGGAGTGTTGTACCCTCTACAGTAAAGTTCAGTAACCTACCAAGCCTAACAATTATATAACACAATATATAATTTTAACACTGACTCCTGAGCGATCAGCATGCTTGAAAACCAATCTAGGGGCCTGCTCCGAGCCCATTGTCTGTTTCAGGACAGCTCAATTAAAGCGAGAGGTTATAATAGTGACCCATCTTTCTAGTTGGGCCCAACTTGATTGGGACCCTCGAACAGATATAGGGGGAACAAGTGAGCGGGCAGAAGAAAAACGTCGTTTCGGGGCGGGCAGTTACTCAACAGCAAAAGCACCTGCCCGCGCGACAAATTCGGATATGTGGGCAGGGTTCTGTTTATACCCATAATACTAGCTAGCACGCCTCGTTGGGGCTCGTTTGTTACCGTATTTTGTCGACCTCGATTGGTTGCGGTTCAGTCAAACTCAAAAGGGTGGACACCAGGCCCATAGTTATCAGGCTTTTTAGGCTGATTTTGCTTTTTTCAGGGTGTTCTCTTGTACCGACCCTGATGAATCAGGCTTGAAAACGAAAGAACCAGGGCCAACCAGTAAGAAAACCACTACCAAAAACTGATTTTCAGGGTGTTTTTTGAGATCGACACTGATCAATCAGCGTGGCCTAAAACGAATCTGAGGGTCTGGTGGACACGCAATGGGAAACGCGTGGTTGGCGGGTGGTCGACGTACCACGCCTTGATTTGTTAGCTCTAGGTGGGGAGAAATTTCGACCAATCAGAAAACCAGTTGTGTTCTTGCGTGAGTAGTGTGTCAACTTATACATATCATGCATGTAGAAGTTATTGGCTAGTATCGGTGTGTGCTCTTAGTGAGTACAACCCAACTGCTATATGTTCCCTGTTTCCCCTCTAGTAATTCATTCACGTACTCTAACATGGTATCGAGTAGGTTAGGTTCACCCGCCCACTTCCGCCCGCGCCCTAGTCTCTCGCCCGCCCCTAGCCGCCCCCCTGGCCGTCGCGTCCGCCCCTAGCTGGCCCCCTGGCCGTCGCGTCCGCCCCTTGCTGGCCCCCCTGGCCGCGTTCGCCCCTAGTTGGCCCCTTGGCCGTCGCGTCCGCCCCTAGTCGGCCCCCTGGCCGTCGCGTCCGCCCCTAGCCAGCCCCCTGGCCGTCGCGTCCGCCCCTAGCTGGCCCCTTGGCCGTCGCGTCCGCCCCTAGTCGGCCCCCTGGCCGTCGCGTCCGCCCTCAGCTGCCCCCCTGGCCGTCGCGTCCGCCCCTAGTCGGCCCCCTGGCCGTCGCGTCTGCCCCTAGCTGGCCCCCTGGCCGTCATGTCCGCCCTCAGCTGGCCCCCTGGCCGTCGCGTCCGCCCCTAGTCGGCCCCCTGGCCGTCGCGTCCGCCCCTAGCTGGCCCCCCTGGCCGTCGCGACCGCCCCTAGCCCGCCCCCTGGCCGTTGCGTCCGCCCCAAGCTGGCCCCTTGGCCGTCGCGTCCGCCCCTAATCGGCCCCCTGGCTGTCGCGTCCGCACTCAGCTGGCCCCCTGGCCGTCGCGTCCGCCCCTAGTCGGCCCCCTGGCCGTCGCGTCTGCCCCTAGCTGGCCCCCTGGCCGTCGCGTCCGCCCTCAGCTGGCGCCCTGGCCGTCGCGTCCGCCCCTAGTTGGCCCCCTGGCCGTCGCGTCCGCCCCTAGCTGGCCCCCCTGGCCGTCGCGATCGCCCCTAGCCCGCCCCCTGGCCGTCGCGTCCGCCCCAAGCTGGCCCCTTGGCCGTCGCGTCCGCCCCTAGTCGGCCCCCTGGCTGTCGCGTCTGCCCTCAGCTGGCCCCCTGGCCGTCGCGTCCGCCCCTAGTCGGCCCCCTGGCCGTCGCGTCTGCCCCTAGCTGGCCCCCTGGCCGTCGCGTCCGCCCTCAGCTGGCGCCCTGGCCGTCGCGTCCGCCCCTAGTTGGCCCCCTGGCCGTCGCGTCCGCCCCTAGCTGGCCCCCCTGGCCGTCGCGATCGCCCCTAGCCGGCCCCCTGGCCGTCGCGTCCGCCCCTAGCTGGCCCCTTGGCCGTTTGCGCCCGCTCCTAGCCGGCCCCATGGCCGTTCGCGCCCGCCCCTAGCTGGCCCCACTGGCCGCCGCGCCCGCTCCTAGCTGGCCCCCCCTGGCCCCACGCGCCCGCTCCTGGCCGGCCCACTGACCGTCGAGCCCGCTCCTAGCGGGCCCCAGCAGCGCCCGCCCGGCCCCTCCTCGCGCCCGCCCGATCCCCAGTTGCGCCTGCCCGGCCGCCCCGCGCGTGCTAGGCCCCTCCTAGCGCCCGCCCGGTCCCAAAGCGACCGCCCGGCCCCTCCTCCTGCCCGCCTGGCCCCTCCTCGTGCCTGCTCGGCCTGCCGTGCCACCTCGGGCTCCGTGTCCTCTGCTAGCCCCTGCTGGGGCGCCCCTGCAGCCGCCCTACTCGAGAGTGCTGCCGCCGTGTCCCCGTGCCGGGCACGCGCGGGGCCGCCGTGTCCCCGTGCCGCGCCTGCATCCGCTTCTGCCGGCCGCTTGCTCTTCCCGATGCTGTTCCCAGACCTTGCTGCCTTCCCTACTGTTGCAGACTTTGCCACTCACTTGCGTGCCCTAGAGTCTCGCTATCGCACTGCCAGCACTGCTGCCCAGCTCACTGCTCTCCCCCCCCCATTCTGCATGACCCTCTATTTTATCGCCATGCGCCTGCCGGACCGCCTAGCTAGTGCCCGCGACCGCTTCCTTAGCCAGCACCCGGGTGACCTTACCCTGACCGCCTTTGTCGACACCCTCACCGAGATCGAGACTCGCCAGCGCACTATCGCTTAGTCGAGCGGTGCACCAGCAGTCTCTATCTTTCACGGCTGTGCCCCCTCCCAGTGCACGTTTACTGACGTTTTGGCTGCGGTCGCCACTGCGACCCCTCTTACCGAGACGGCTGCTGTGGTCCACCCGCAGCAGCGCCCGCGCCGCGTTGGCCGTGGCCGTCAGGGAGGTCATGGTGGTGGCGCTGGTGGTGGTGGTAGTGGTGGTGGCGATGGTAGTCCCGCAAAGGGGACTACCACCGGTGGGCAGGAGCAGTCGCAGTCGCCTTCGCAGCAGGAGCAGCCCCCGCAGCAGCCGCCGCCGTCCCAGCAGCAGCCGCCGCAGCCGTGGGCTCGTCTCCCGCCTGGTTGGCCCGGCACCTCCGGAGGTGGTGGCCGTGGTGATGGCCCGCGCAGCTTGGTGTCTATCGGCAGCTCTGGTGCTGTGACCTGCCAGTACCAGCTTCAGACCAAGCCTCTCCGCGGCACTCTGTGCCACCGCCCGCACCCGACCGCTCGCTGCTTCCGCCGCCTCGATGATCTCTTTCGTCGTCACTTTGGCCCCGCCCCGGACCTCCCCGACTGGCACAGCCTGCTTCGCCAGGGCGTACCGAACTTTGAGTTAGATATGGATCAGATAGGTGCTGCTTTGCATGCCTTGTATGCTGACCATTCTAGTGTAACTGGATCTCATTACCCTGTGTACTCTAGTTTAGGCGTTGCACCCTTGTGTAGCTCAGCCTCCCCTGCTGCGTCAGGCGTAGGACTGCCTAGTTTGCCTAGCCTAGTTTCTGCACCGGCTCCGTTCCCGGCCTCCGCTACTGCCTCGCTGTCCTTCACTCTCGACTCCGGTGCTTCTGCCTGTTTCTTATGCGACCGCTCCACGCTCACGACGCTTGCCGCGCCTGCTGTTGTCCCTCTAGCTGACCCCTCGGCGGGTCCTGTCGTCGCTCGCAGCTCTACTTCCCTTCCCTTTCCAGCCGTCCCCTCAGGCTCCCTTACAGGCCTTCACGTTCCCTCGTTCTCGCGGGGACCTCGGCGTCACCACTGCATTCCTTGAGCACGAGCGGTTCGCTGTGTGTATCGAGGCTGTCTCAGGTTCCCCCATTGCGACGTTCCCCCGAGACCCGGTGTCCGGTCTGTTTACCCTCGACACCGCTCCCCCCCCGGTTGGTGCGTCCTCCCAGGTCGCTGCAGCGTGCTTGTGTCGGTCTCTCACTTACCCGTCCCTTTTGTGGCACCATCGCCTAGGTCACCCTACACTCCCGCGTCTGCGTCATATGTCCCAGCACGGTCTTGTCTTAGGCCTCCCCACTTCGCTCCCCGCCCTTCCCCTCTCGCCTGCTCCACCGTGCACTCCCTGCGTCAAGGGCCGGTTCCGCCGTGCCCCTCACTCCTCCTCGCTTCGCCCTGCTGCTGCTCCCCTTTAGTCCCTGCACCTGGACGTTTGGGGCCCAGCCCCCGTCCCCGGACCGCGTGGCGAGCGCTACATTCTTGTGCTCGTCGATGACTACACGCGCTACACAAAAGTGTTTCCCCTGGAGCGGAAGGCGGACGTGCCCGACGTTCTTCTCCCGTGGGTTGTGGCTGCGCTTCTTCACCGCGGTCTCCCCGTGTTGTGTCTCCACTCAGACCGTGGCGGTGAGTTCGCTTCTGGTCGGCTTGGACAGTTCTGTTGTGCGGAGGGCATCACCCAGTCGTACACCTTGCCGGACTCGCCACAACAGAATGGGGTTGCTGAGCGCCGCATCGGCTTGGTCATGGAGGTGGCTCGTACCTCCATGATCCATGGCGGTGCACCCCATTTTCTGTGGCCGTTCGCCGTTCGCTACGCCGCTCCCCAGCTTAACCTGTGGCCACGCTCCCAGCGGCTGCAGGTTTCGCCGACCCTGCTTTGGACCGGGTCCCCCAGTGTCGCGTCTGCGTTCCACGTCTGGGGCTCCCTTGCTCACGTTCGTGCCTCTGGCATGGACAAGCTCACTGCCCGCACTGTCCCCTGTGTCTTCCTTGGTTTCCCCCTGGACTCGTCTGACTGGCTCTTCTACCACCCGCAGTCTCACCGCTTCCTCCACTCTCGTGACGTCACCTTTGACGAGTCCGTCTCCTTCTACCATCGCTTCCCTCACCGAGGTCTCCTGGTTTCCCCCCCCCTGTTCCTTGCCCCCTCTCCCCCGGTAGCCCCTCCTCCCCTCCCGCCTCGTCCTGCCCCGTCTGGTGTCTCCCATGTCACTCCCCTCCCGTCAGTTGTCCCTGTTGAGGAGTCTGCTGACTCTGGTGGTCCCCCCGCCCCGCCTTTGCCCCGTCCCTTTCCCTGGTGTCCCTGCCCCCGCTGTCGCAGTCGCCGCCGTCGTCGCCGCCGCCGCCGCCGTCGCAGCCGCCGCCGCCGCCGCCGCTGCCGCTCTTGGCCTCTGGGGGTGCTGGCGCTGAGGAGGGTGTTCGTCTTGCGGCTCCTGGCGTGGTCTGTCCCGGCGGGCCTGGGGGTTCCGCTGGGGCTGGA